GAAAAGGTCTTGTTTGCCAGTGTCTTCGACGGCATGGAGATTCTCGATTAGAGGACGTGTGAAGGCGATGTTGTCGCGCAAAGGTATCCGAGCGGTTCGCGAGCTACGAGACCCAGTTCCGCATGAATTTGTATTTGTATCGCATTTCATATTCAGCTCCCTTCCTCGAATGTAGATTATGCGATTCGGACAAGCACACTGCGAGCGGATGTGCGAGAACCAATTGAGTGCACGCAAGCTCGCTTGGAGCCAAAGGTATCTAGTGAAGCAGAAATGACAGCTGGCCGGACAACATCACATAATGGTGCACTGTGGGCCAGGTTTAGCGACGCGCGGTGCACGCCAGATGTCAGCTCAAAACTTGCCTGTGCCGCCATTCTCACCATATCCGCTGCACTCACTTGCTCCTCGTCTCCGCTGGCATGCTTTGCGAGATCTCTTGTGAAGCTGCCAACGTCGCGAGATCCATGTCCTTGAAGATTCACGACAAGCACACCGGAATTGTGGGGGTCGAGGTGGGCTGCAAGGTTGTAGCTGCGGTGGGAACAGGATCCAGATGTCAGCCTCTGCTCTGGCTTCAACCTACCTGATCGACTCACTCTCGCATGAGCTTTTCGACGGCGGGCTGCGCGGGAAGGACACCAGTGCAGGACATTCTGCTCAGTCATGCTTCACATTTGCAAGTGTTGTCAAGCACATACCTTGATGTGGGCTACGTGATCCTTTGAGTGAAGGCCTTTGCCAACGATGATGCGCAGCTCGGGCTTGCCAGCCTGCTGGGCTTGTTGCACCGCCTGCTCTGTCCTCTTGATGGCCTCTGCAGTGTACAATCCATGCAAGTCTTGTGACAGCAATGTATGCGCTTGATACGTCAGAGCCGAGCTACGGAAAGCTTCTGCAAGAGCAACGTCGGACTTTCGCAGCCAACACCACTCACCAACCTCATCGGGTCCGCTGTCCTCATTATTAGCCTTGTAAATCCAGTCGGAAGCTTCTTGGTTCAGCTGCTCCATACGTTCCTTGTGCATCTTGCCTTCGTTGCTCAGCTCCTTTGCTCGCGCTCCATCGCCAGATGAGTAGGCCTTGTGAGAAGCGTCAAAGCACTTTGCCATCTGATCACCTTCCGACCGAGCCTGATTTCGCAGTTGCTGGTAGCGCTCGTTAGCTTGGTTCACCTGACACGGAGAGATGCACAAGTGGTGAGCTCGTTGGCAGGTATCAGAGGCGCACATACGATGACGCAAACGCGCTCGGACTGACTTGGTTATCATCGTACTTTCCATGATGAGGCTTGACACCCGGAGGATGACTCTGGGGCATACCATGGCCAGTCTGCTGAGGCGGAGACCATGGCTGCTGCTGTTGCTGCGGTCCTTGCGCATATCCTCCTCCATAGCCGCCTGGTTGTTGCTGTTGCCATGGGTGTTGTTGCGAGGCGTATCCTTGCCCGCCTTGCTGCTGATTCTGCTTGTTCTTGTTCGAGAAGGCCTTGAACAGCTTTTTGCCGTACTTGATGATCTGCCCCGCCAAAGAGAAAAGCGACGCATGGCGCTGAGCCAGGCACACGCTTCACAAAGAGATGTAACGTCTTACTCACCTGGCCCTGCCATGTGGAAGCAGTCATATCGCAGGGCATAATCAGACACGGTTTAATGATTGATGACTTCGCATGTGACTCCACCCGTTCCCCCTTCCGACCATCGATCGCTCTCTCACCTTGTGGGCCTTGAGGAAGCGGATCACGTCATCCATCATGCAGCGCCTCCTCAAAGTGAGCCAGGAAACCGATTCTGGGATGCGATATGAAGATCGTGGCAAAGGATGATGGATGTATGTCCCACGCAGAGGCAGATGTCTATATCGACGAGGTGTTAAGCGCTATGGAGGGCATGCGGTGTTTCCACACACGGTGTGCATTCAGCAGCTGTAGCGCGCACAATGCATCCGAGCAGCGCGAGTAGCGCACGCAGCGGCCGGATGAATTCCGCGCTCCGGGGGACCTTGTTTCGTGCGAGAAGAGAGCCTGAGTGTTTGCAAACGCTAATCGGAATCCAGAAATTTGGACCTCGCCTCGCTTGAAGGGAAGCCAAGGAAGGGAGCGTCGCTCCCGGCTTTTTCTCATGCGAGTCATCTCTCACATCCTACTCGTCATATATCTTCCTTCGCAAAGAAGAAGACAAGTGCAAGTCGAGTCTGCGAGTGGTCAGCGCTCAGCTCCTCGCACCTAGCATCACCCGCGCAAAAGTCCTTCAAACCACGCGTCGCAAAGACCACCACCATGCCACCCCGATCCTCTTTCTCCGCTAGCGCGCCTGGCGCATCGACACAAGGAGGCATCAAGCCGAAAAGGAGAAGAGTGCGGAAATCTCGAAGAACTGCAGCTTCCGACTCTAGCAGTAGCAGCAGCAGCGACAGCAGCTCTGATGACAGCGGCGATGAGGGCGCACCCTCTGCGAAGGCGACTGGTTTGAGCGCCACAAAGAAAGGGGAT